CACACACACACACACACACACACACACACACACACACACACACACACACACACGCTTTCGAGTCAAACATCTGTTTGATGTTTCCTGTTTCTGTTCCGCCTGCAGCCAGGAGGAGGCGCTACGGTGAGTCGAGCAGATCCACTGTGGTTCTGGTTCTGGTTCTGTTGGCATGAAGCCTGTTTCCACCTGAGGCTCATTTAACTTCCTGTTTTAAAGTGGGAAAACAGGAAGTGAGCTGATGGATGAATTAAAAAATAAGCTTCAGGTGGACATGCTCTTATTGTGAAGGATGCACAATATTACATCAACCAGTAAATAAATTTCAAAATAAAAGTCTGGTTGCCACTGCAGACACGACTTGATGATCGAATAAATAAATMAAAAACAATATTCTGCATCCTGAGCTGAAGTTTAAACATTTAAAAAATGTTTAAATGACTTTATGAGTAGTTAATATCTTACCTGTTGGAGCTTTTTAGCCTCAGTTTGTTTTTGACGAGATCAACGAGCTAGCTTCTCATTTAAATGACATTTTTATCTGTTCATGTGAAAATTAGACCCTCTGTTCACAGGATTCACTGGGTCTGACTAGCCTTTAGCTCRTTACTCCAGTCAGAATAAACTCCAAACAGTAAGATATTAAACCTGTTTTGTTTTTGTTTGTTCATCCTGTTTTCTGTTTCCTCTCCAGAGAAACTGGATGAGATGTTGGCTGGAGGCCAACAGGAAGTGGTCCTGAGGGCCCGCCCCTCAGACGACTTCAGAGCGGCGACGGTCAAACAGAGACCAACGAGCCGACGCATCACACAGGCGGAGATTAACGTAAGAGAACCGACTGGAAACATACGTCCAAACATTAAAAACAAAAACATTTCACAGAAATAATTAAACAGTTTTAGGATCTCAGTTAAAAACGTTCCTGATAAACGTCACGTTTTTATKAACAAATCAACAAAAGCATCTAAAACCTGCTGATTCCTCATGAACCTCCTCAACTAACCCTGACCTTTGACCCCTGGGAGGTTGTTAGTTAAAGGAATCCAGGATTAGTTGTAACATTAGATTTTATCTGATAAACATTAGTTTTAACTATAAAATAAAAACTGTAAAAACACTGTAGGCTGTTTGGTTTTTATAATTTTTCAGTTAACCTGTTGTCCTCCATCCATATTTTCAGTTCCAGGCTGAGTCATTTCTACCTTCTCCTCTCTGTCAACGCTC